ATTGTATTTTATTTTATTTTATTTTATTTTATTTTATTTTATTTTATTTTATTTTTTATATTTTATTTTATGCAAGTCAGTGGGGTCCACTATTTATTTAATATATGTATTGCTTGCAAATAATGAAAGTCCACGGGGTCCAATGTTGTTGATTTTATGAATATGAATACATTTGTTTATTTAAAGAGGCAGTTCAGCCAGAAATGAATATTCTGTCATCATTTAGAATAATCACTAGAGAAGATGGTTTTTATTTTGTGCTTGTTCTTATGTGAAGGTTTGGAGCGGTTATTAAATTACATCATCATATTCACCACATGACCCCATTGATTGCTTTTATTTCGCTACAGAAGTGCTCGATCTGATGGATAAAGCTGCGAGACGAGCGGTTTGATCCTCAGAATGAACATCCAGACGTGTTGTGTGTGCAGCGGCTCGTCGCTCTGCTTTGTTAGGTTTTGTTTTATTGTGCTGGCTTTCATTTAACGCTCGAGTCGTTTCCATTTTAAGGTGAATTACTGATAATGAGATCCATCCGCTCGTTAATGTTCACGCTGAGTTTCTATGACGATAAGTCAATAGAGCTCTCGGCGGAGAGACGCATCCGTCTTTCATCCCTCCATCACTCCTCGTTCTCACCCTCATCTCTCCGTCCGTCTTTTAATCAGATGATTTACTGTTCTACACATGAAAATGACTTGTACAAGCCACTCTCATATTAGACACACACACAGACGGACGGATGGATGGACGGATGACTTGTGAATTTGAAAACATTGATAACATTGTAAACGAGTCGTCGTTCTCTTTTAGTGTTTTGAGAATGAAAGTAGTGCATTTTAGGTCAAAATCCCTCTTAAAAGCTTTAAAATGTATTTATTTATTTATTTATTTATAAATTAATTTATTTTACATTCATAATAGATTTTAATTTATATTTTTATTTTTATCATTTAACTTTTATTTAGATTTTATTCATACATATATTTGTAATTGACTTTATTTTTAAAAAATTAATTTATTTTTATTTATAATTTTTCATTTTAGTTTTTCATTCACTCATTTATAATATAATTCATCCATTTATTTGTTCATTAATTAATTTTCAATAGAGTTTACTCATTCATTCATAATAGGATTATTTATTTTTTATTTTTAAAAATAAATTTTCATTAATTCATTTATAATATTATTCATCTGTTTATTTATTTATTAATTTGCAATAGAAAATTGATTGATTCATTCATACTAGAAATCAATTTGTGTATTTATCATGTTTTTATATTTATTTATGTATTTTTATTCATTCATTCATTTGTAACACAATGATACATTGATTGATTGATGTTAAATAATAGAAAATGTATTTAAATTTAAAAATTGTAATGTTTATTTATAATTTATTAATTTATTTTTATTAATTCCTTTATAATATTATTTATTCATTCATGTACTCATTCATTCATAATAAAATTGAATTTTCATTTATCATTTAATTTCAATCATTGTTTTATTTATTTGTTTGTTTTTCATTCATTTCTAATAGAATGTATTGACAGATGGATGGATGAGTTTCCGGCTGGGATCTGTAGTGTTGTGAGAACTGTACTGTTGTGGTGTGTTTTAAGCTGAAATCAGCCGATGATCAGCTTCGGAGCGGAGCTGAATAATAGTTTGTTTTCAGAGCTGAAAGTGTCCTCAGATTCAGCAGATGCGGATCACGCTCTTCTGAAAGCCTTACAGTGGGCGATTTTCTCTCTGTGGCTTTGCTCGAAATTGAGCGTCGAGTCTGTAAAGCTGCTGGAACAATAACAGGTTATTCGCTTCAGAAAGTTTGGGAAGATGCTTTGATGAAGTCCGGGACGTTATGTTATTGTATGTTATTGAAATGTCAGGCTACAGTGAGGTATAGTTACAGAAATGCAAGATTTTTACATTTTCTAACAGTTATTCATGTATAATAAAAATGTATTAATAATTTATTTAATTAATAATAATGTAAATAATAATTATTTATTTATTTATTACTTAAATATAAAACTTGTAATACTTTTTTCTATTTATAATTTATTTTTATTTATTTACTCATTCATTTATATTACTTATATTAATTCATTCATTCATAATGCAAAGTAATTTATTTAGAATATAATTTTTATTTAAATTTTAAGGTTAATTTAATTTTTTTAAATTTATTTATTCATGTATTTATTTTTATTTATTAATTATTATAATATTATACATTTTCATAATATAATTTAATTGTATCATATTTTATATAATTATTAATTTTTATATCATTTATTTTATTTATTCATTTTTATCTTTTTATTTCATTTAATTAATTTATAATTTATTCATTCATTTTTGATATAATGTATTTATTCATGTATTTATTTTTATTTATTAATTCTTATAATATTATACATTTTCATAATATAATTTAATTGTATCATATTTTATATAATTATTAATTTTTATATCATTTATTTTATTTATTCATTTTTATCTTTTTATTTCATTTAATTAATTTATAATTTATTCATTCATTTTTGATATAATGTATTTTTTTTTTATTAATTTTTTTATTTTATCCATTTGAACTATCTGAATGATTACCCACAACCATAAATATTTGCAAGCGCTTACAGCCACAAAATAGTGATTTCTGAATTTGACCGACTGTCCTTTCAGCTTTTATTAACCTGTACAATGTTCAGAGAAAGCATCATCAGTGTTTATTATCTTTCTGGTTGTTCAGTGAGATCTCTGAATGTTCCTCCTCTGGATTTACAGCAGGATGATATTAATTCGTCCCGCGAGCCATGCATCGGGAGTTTAGTTTTCCTTCTCTTATTGCTTGTTGTTAGTTTGCTCTCATGCTGTAGTGGGATGAAGATACTGTGCTTCTGCTCCTGCGAGCGTAAATCTGTACAGAAGCGTAATACATCACGACTAACAGAAATACCTGCGGTGGCTTTATGAGCGATCAGAGATCACACACGCCTGTGAGCGCATGCATGCGATACAAATAAATAAAAAAAATTAATGTGAACATTCGTCCTCATTCACAGATTCACAGCTGTTTCTGTCAGCTAAAATACTTGAAGAGTTTTGGAAATGTTTGTTCTTCATTTAAAGTGAACGTGAAATCAACACTGACTCTTCTTCTCCTTGAGATTTACTCATTTTATAATTATATATTATTTCATATATAATTATATTTTTTGTTATTTGCAGTGGATCGTTGATGTATTGATCATTTATGCTTTTAGGCCAATATTTATGTTATTTTATTTTATTTTATTTAAAAAAATTTTAGCATCTGTTTATGCTTTTACACCAATATTACATAAATTTTATTTTTATTCATACATTTTACATTTTATTTTAGAACTATATTTTATTTTATTTCATTTTGTTTTATTTAGTTTGCACCTGTTTATTCTTTTAGGCCAATATTACTTTCATTTTATTTTTAATTATTATTATTATTATTATTATTATTATTATTATATGCATCTGTTTGTTATTTAATGTCGTTAATGGCTGTGACATTACAAATATGCTAAAATCGGTGTGTGTGTGTGTGTGTGTGTGTGTGTGTGTCTGTCTGTCTGTCTGTCTCTCTCTGTCTCTGTGTCTGTGTCTGTGTCCCTGTCCGTGTCTCTGTCCCTGTCTGTGTCTCTGTCTCTGTCCGTGTCCCTGTGTCTGTGTCTCTGTCTCTATCCGTGTCCATGTCTCTGTCCCTGTCTCTGTCTGTGTCCGTGTCTCTGTCTCTCTGTCTGTGTCTCTGTCTCTCTGTCTGTGTCTCTGTGTCTCTGTGTCTGTGTCTGTGTCTGTGTCTCTGTCCCTGTCCGTGTCCCTGTGTCTCTGTCCATGTCTCTGTCGCTGTCCCTGTCCGTGTCTCTGTCTGTGTGTGTGTGTGTGTGTGTGTGTGTGTGTGTTGGTATTAGGGTTGTGCCGATAGACAATAGTATCGTGTATCGACGATAGTCAGAGATACTGATGATAGCAGATGTCTTTGTGGATAGTCAAGACGATATTAGGCTCATTCTCCTATTAATGTATTAAATAATAATAATAATCATTATTATTATTATTATTATTAGGCGGCCCATTATAATTCGGCTATTATTATCAAATTGCCCCGCTTTTTCATTCAGCACTGTATTTCACACACACACACACACACACAGACACACACACACACACACACACACGACAAAGAGGAGCCTGTAGCCTGTGAAGGAGTCTCCAAACACAAACACAGACGTACATCGTCTGCTGATATAAGGTATTTCGTTGCACTTTAACAAGTAATCTGAACGGCCTATATACATATCCGAATATATATGAACTAGCTGTTTTAAATATTTTTGTATTTAACATGTTAGTTTATCAGTATGTTTGAAAGTATATTATTTAGATTTGTGGTGCTTCCATAGGCTCCCTCTCTCTCGTGCGGTTTAAAACGCCACATAGTTATGAAATAGCCTATGATAAGTACAGAGAGTTTCTCTCTTGCCCCACCCACCCATGCACGATAATATCGTCTATCGGTGATCTCACGGACTGGCGATATGACGATTTGAAAAATGACCATATCGCCCAACACTAGTGTGTGTGTGTGTGTGTGTGTTCTCCATGCAGGGAAAGCATATCCTCCAGAGTTTTATTATGACACCTATAACCCGCTGTGGCAGAACCGTCCTCGTGTGTATGGATACAAGCTGCAGTGGACGCAGATGAACCCGAATACCGTGGACCGGATCATGGCGTACCGCCTCGGGATACGACAGGTGAGGAGTTTTCAAGATTGAGGGCTAATGAGTGTAAATTAGGCCTGAGCGATATGTTAAAAAAAAAAGTCTTATTGATAATCACCTTTAAAAATATTGCATTATCTGATTGTGTATATTTTAGAATAACAAAAGCATTAGAGTTGGTTCAGTGTCTCAGTTCAATCAGTCCTTTTCAATTAATTTTTTTTCCAACTCCGACAATTCTATCTTCATTTAAAAGTTGTTATTTTATTTTTATTTTTATTTTATTTTATTTTATTTTATTTTGCATTCTTTAGTCACGTCTTTATCATATTACCAAAAAATATATTTTTTTATTTTATCTATTATTTCAATTAATTGTATATTTAATTTTTATATTTTATGATTTTTAATTTTAATTGCATTTTCTTCTAGTACATTCTATTATTTTATAGATTTTTTAATTATTTTTTTGTTATATTGCATGTGCATTAATAGTTAATTGCATGTGAGTGTGTGTGTGTGTTATTTATTTTAATTAAATGTATTTTTTGTAGTGCATTTATTTGTTTATTTATTTGTTTGTTTTGTTTTTGTGCATTCTTAATAATATTCATACTCATGTCTTCATCTTAGTTTGTTGGAAATAGCCATGGGTGCACTATAGCATGTACTCATTGTTTATTATATCTTAATGTATTTTTTAGTTTATGTATTTTATTTATTTTCTAAAGCATTTGTTTTTAAATAATTTATTTATTTATAATTTGTTTATTTCTAATTTATTTGTTTTCTAAATATTTATTTTCTAAAATAAACATTATTTATTTTGTGTTATGTTTATTTCTTTTCATTTCACATTTTCAAATTTTTTTTTTTCCCCTATGGTTTTAGTTTTAGTAAACTGTAATAACTCTGACGGTCCAGTGACCTTTAGAAACATGAGAAATAAAGTGTCCCGTAAATGATTCTAGCTAAGCTGTTTACAGCAGGTCTCATAAGGTGTATCAGAAAACCTGCCGAAATCACACGCTGTAATTTGACTGAATTGGAGTTTAATGAATCCACTAAAACGCTCTCAGATCCTGTTCATTCTCAGTCCTGTCAGTGAGAGACTCGAGGGCCGCCGGTGAATACTGCAGCCATTACCAGTAACTAAACAATCCACCTGTGTGTTAACTAAAGCAATTAGTGGCCACTAACCGCCGGATTCCTGTCGTCTGCTGTCACGCTTTCAGAACAAACTGACCAAACTTCCGGATTCTATCAAATTCTGTTAAAACTCTGATGTTTCTCACTGAATCTGAATCTGACGGCGGGTTTGTGGATGGAATGCATCTAAAACTAAAACCACTGCAAATATAATAGACATTAACAGAAAAAAAGTGAACTTTAAAATGTTTAATAAAATGCACCAGGGCTGCATTTATTTGATCAAAAATACAGTAGAATTGTGAAATATTATTACAATTTAAAATATCTGTTTTCTATGTGAATATCTGTTAAACTGTAATTTATTTCTGTGATCAAAGCTGAATTTTCAGAGCAAGCTCTCAGTTGCGTTGTGGAAGTTTTAACGCATAAATTAGTAGTTATTAACCCTATAAAGCTACCATATCACATTTCTAACGTCTCTAAATGATCAATCTTCACTCGATCTCCTGCATGGCTTCTGTCATCTGATTGATCGTTTAGAGTGTTTTATCCAGTCAAAGCTCTTTTAGTGTAATTGTAGAAACGTCCAGCTTCAGCTCGAGCTTCTCGTGTCAAATCTTGACTGATTTTTATCAAGTAAAGGTCAGAATAACTGCAGTAATATCTCCAGATGAACACTTACTGGACTGAAGCAGCTCAGCTTTACTTGATTCTCCATCAATCATGTTTTAGAGTCTCAAATCTGATCCTCAGGATCTTTTGAGGAGCGTTTGTTTCCAGAAGCTTTACTTTCACTGTTCCTCAGCGGAGGAATGATCTTCACAAGCCTCCAGAACATCTCACATCTTCTGAGGAGCCTTTATTTCTTCAGCTCTCAATCACTGCATTATATGTTTGGAACATTTCAATCTCATCTTACTGAGACAGATTACTGAGATATAGAGCCACGACTGATATTTAGATCATTTTATGTCAGTGTGTGTGTGTCAGTGGTTTCTCTCTCGCTCCTCCAGACGGGGCAGCAGCGCTGGTGGGAGCAGGAGATTCCCGTGGAGGGAAATATCCAGAAAGGAGAGCTGATCACTCATAACTTGACGGAGCTCATCCGACCCGAGGCGTACGTGGTTCGACTGACTCCCATCACGCGCTTCGGAGAGGGAGACTCCTCCACCAGAGTCGTCACATACAGCGGTACGACACACAGATCTTTACTGCAGATCAGCTTGACTTTACTACGTTTAGAACAGAAACAGTTTCACTCAGAAATTGCTAGTAGATTTCAAAAATAATTACAAAGATACGGAGCCCCGTACATGGCATGCAGGAAAAAATAGTAGGCTAAATCGTGCATACAATTTACTATTTTGTTCCCTCGATTTATAAATTGTGTGCATGATTAACTATTTCTTTCCCTCGATTTATAAATCATGCGCACGATTTACTAAATCGTTCCCTTGATTTGTAAATTGTGCACACAATTTACTAAATCGTTCCCTTGATTTATAAATTGTGTGCATGATTTACTATTTCGTTACCTTGATTTATAAATTGTGTGCATGATTTACTATTTCGTTCCCTTGATTTATAAATTGTGTGCATGATTTACTATTTCGTTACCTTGATTTATAAATTGTGTGCATGATTTACTAATTCGTTCCCTTGATTTATAAATTGTGTGCATGATTTACTAATT